TCTATCACTCATCAGGGGTTAGTTCTTCATTTTTCCTCCACCAACTTTTCCACACCCCTCCCCCCTAACCCCAACCCCAAGGACTTTTCCCAACCCAAAATTTTTTTTAAAGGGGTTTGGGTTTCCCAAAAACCCCCCTTTTTTTTCCCCCCCCCCTTTTTTTTTTAATTTTTTCCCCCTCCCCCCCAACCCTTTTTTTTAAAAAAAAATTTCTCTCCCAAAACCCCTTTTTTTTTTTTTGGGCCCAAAAAAACCCTTTAAAAATTTTGTTAATTTTTTTTTTCAATAACCTGCTTGGGCCATGGGCTGCAAGGGGGGGGTAATTGGGGGCAAAAACTTCAACCTTAAAACCAAACCCCAAAATTTTCCCCCCCTTTGGGGGGCCCGGGGGGCCCCAAACCCTTTGGCCCAATTTTTTTTTTTAAATTTTTAATTTTCCCCGGGTTTTTTAAAAAAAAAAAAAAACCCCTTTCCCCCCCCGGGGGGGGGAAAAAAAAAAATTTGGGGGGAAGGGGGGGGAACCCGGGGGGGGGAGGGGGGAAAAAAAAAAAAAAAAGGGGGTTTGGGGGGGGGGGGTTTGGGGGGTGGTTTTTTCCCGGGGGGGGCCCCAAAAAAGGGGGGGAAAAAGGGGGGGGGGGGGAAAAAAAAAAGGGGGGGGTTTTTTTTGTTTTTTTTGGGGTTTTTTACCTTTTTTGGGGGGGGTTTTTTTAAAAAAGGTTTTTTTAAATTTTTTAACCAAAGGGGGGAAAAAAAATCCTTTTTAAAATTTTAATTTTTTTAAAAAAAATTTTTTTTAAAAAAATTGGGGGAAAAATTTTTTGGTTTTAAAAAAAAAAAAAATTTTTTTTGGGTTTTTAAAAAATTTTTTTTGCAAAAAGTTTTTTTTTTGGAAAAATTTTTGGGGGGGGGGGGTTTTTTTAAATTTATTTGGGGGAAAAAAAATTTTTTAATTAAAGGGTTTGGGGGTTTTTTTTTTAAAAATTTTTTTTTTTTTTAGGTTTTTTGGCCCCCCCTTTTTTTTTTTGGAGGTTTTTCCCCAAATTGGGGGAAATATGGTTGTCTTAAAAAACCTAGGACCATGCCTTACTGTTTGCCCTCACAGACAAAAAAAATTTTATCTTGAGGACATTTTTTGCCTAAAACGTTGGGAGTTTCAGAGGAAATAAAAAAGGGCTTAACTTTGCAATCCCATAGCATTGGCAACTCAACAAAAGTAAGCTGTTTTAGGCTTATGTTGGGGTGCCTTTCTCTGAGTAATGTAGGTCCTGCTTGGCATTTTCTTCAGAACAGGCCTGTTTCATCACAATTAAACATTGTTCAGGTTTCAGTCCTTCACTGTCTATGTACTCCTTGAATTCCTGCACATATTTTTCAGCCGCTTTGTGGTCCGAACTGGCAGCCTCACCATGCCTTTATCACACTATGGATGCCACTACGCTTTTAATCTCTCAAACCAACCTTTGCTGGCCTTAAATTCACTCACATCATCACTAGTTGCAGGCATTTTTTTAATTAAATCCTCATGCAACTTCCTAGCCTTTTCACATATGATCGCTTGAGAGACGCTATCTCCTGCTAGCTGTTTTCATTTATCCACACCAATAAGAGTCTCTCAACATCTTCCATCACTTGCGATCTTTGTTTCGAAAACACAGTTAAACCTTTGGCAAGAACAGCTTCCTTGATTGTCTTTCTCGTGCCCACAATAGTAGCGATGGTTGATTGGGGTTTCTTGTACAACTTGACTAGGTCGGCGATACGCACTCCACTTTCATACTTATCAATGATCTCTTTCTTCATTTCTATTGGAATTCTCACCCTTATTGGTGTACGGTTGGCACTAGAAGCTTTCTTGGGCCCATGGTCACTTATTTCCAGAAACAGCACCGAAAACACTGTAATAATACGAAATATTCCGAGTGTATGCTTGGATGTTACCGCGGAGGCTGGCTGGTAAACAATGGCACGGGCGGCACATGTGAGGCTGGCTGAGGGCGCACATTGGACGCGTCTCGGACGAAATCGGTGAGCGGGTTTTTAATCGGTATGCGCGGCAAAATTTTTGCGATTAAAGCAAGCGGTATGCGGATTAATCGCTATGTGATGCCATCGTTATGCGGGGGTCCACTGTATACAGTGGACCCTCAGTTAACGCCTGCATCAGATAGTGCCAAAATCAGATAACGCCTCGCTTTGGTGTAAGAAAATTGGCTTGGATAACACCTAAAAACTCAGTTAGGAGCTTTTGTTCCGAACGTGTCCGCTCGCACCCTGAGTGGGCCCGGTCAGTCACTCTGTCTACCAGCCAGTGTGCCATTGTTTACAAGCCACTGAGGACGGTTCCACACGTACATGCAATATATTTTGTATTATTCCATTTTTTTAGTGCTTGTAACTGCTAAATAAGCCACAATGGGCCCAAAGAAAGCTTCTAGTGCCAACCCTGTAATAAAAAGGGTGAGGTGTACTATCGAATTGAAAAAGAAGATAATAGAAAAGTACAAGAGTGGAGTGTGTGTCTTGGAGTTGGAAAAGTTATACAACAAACTCCATTCAACCATCACTACTATCTTGCACAACAAAAAGGCAATCAAGGAAGCTGTTGTTGCAAAAGGTGCAAGTGTGATTAGAAAACAGAGATCGCAAATACTCAAAGATGTGGAGAGACTGACTGTTGCTGGTGTGGATAAACAAGAAACAATTATCAGGAGATAGTGTTTCACAGTCAATCATATGTGAAAAAGCTAGGCAGTTGCATGAGGATCTCATTAAGAAAATGCCTCCAAATAGTGCTGTTGTTGATGAATTTAAGGCCAGCAAAGGCTGGTTTGAGAGATTTAAGAATCGTAGTGGCATACAGAGTGTGATAAGGCATGGTGAGGCTGTCAGTTGACAAAAAAGTGGCTGAAAAATATGTGCAGGACTTTAAGGAGTACATAGACACTGAAAAATTAAAACCCCAACAAGTGTTCAATTGTGATGAAACAGGCCTGTTTTGGAAGAAAATGCCAAACAGGACCTACATTATTCAGGAGGAAAAGGCACTCCCAGGACACAAGCCTATAAAAGACAGGCTAACTCTAATATTGTGTAGTAATGCTAGTGAAGATTACAAAGTGAAGCCTTTACTCGTGTATTACTCTGAAACTCTTAGTGTGTTCAAGAAAAACAATATCGTCAAGACTAAATTGTGTGTGATGTGGAGAGCAAACAGTAAGGCATGGGTCACTAGAGACATGTTTATTGACTGGTTCTATGACATGTTTGGCCCCACTGTGAAACAGTATTTCCTGGAAAATAAATTGGACCTCAAGTGCCTCCTGGTAACGGACAATGCTCCTACTTATCCTCATGACTTGCAAGAGCAAATTGCGGGGGAGTTGAGCTTCATCAAAGTGAAGTTCTTGCCTCCTAATACCACTCCTCTCCTCCAGCCCATGGAGCAGCAGGTGATTTCAAATTTCAAAAAACTGTACACCAAAGCAGTGTTTCAAAAGTGCTTTGAAGTGACCTCAGACACTGAACTGACCCAAAAAGAGTTCTGGAAAGATCACTTCAGTATCCTTAGTTGCATAAACTTTATAGGTATGGCTTGGGAGGGAGTGACTTGCAGGACTTTAAACTCTGCTTGGAGAAAATTGTGGCCACAATGTGTACAAGAAGAGTTTGCAGCTGACCCTAAGGAGCCTATTGTGGCATTGGGGAAGTCCATGGGGTTGGAGGTTAGTGGCGAGGATGTGTAAGAGTTGGTGGAGGACGACGATGAAGAGCTAACCACTACAGAGCTGCAAGAGCTTTAGGTGCAACAGCAACAGACCAAAGCTCAGGGATTTCCTTCAGAGGTGGAGGAAGAGAGAGAGAGGAAGTTGCCTTCGTCAAAGATTAAGGAAATGTGTACAATGTTTCCAAAGGGGCAAGGATTTATGGATGAATATTATCCTGACACAGCTGTTACAAGCCATAATGGCAACTTGTACAATGACACTCTTGTGGCCCATTTTAGGGAAATCTTAAAGGGACACGAGAAACTGAGCTCTCTGGATACATATTTTGCGCGACAGGGGTCCAGTGACTCAAGCTGGTCCTAGTGGCATTAATAAACAAAGGAGGGAGGTAACCCCAGAAAAGGACTTGTTACCTGAAGTCTTTATGGAAGGGGATTCCCCTTCCAAACAATAGAACACCTGCATCATCTGCCCTCCTACCGTCTCATCACTCATCAACCATTCCACAATAAAGGTGTCATTTCAGTAATGTTTATTGTGCATGTAACATTGTGTTCTGTGTAGGAAAATGTATATTTCATGTGAAAAAAAAATTTCATACTTTTGGGTGTCTGGAACAGATTAACTGGATTTCCATTATTTCTTATGGAGAAAATTAATTTGGTTAAAAGCTAAATTGGTTAAAGCCTAGCTCTCTGGAACGGATTAAAGGCATTAACTGAGGGTCCACTGTATATTATTGTAACCACACTCATTTGTGGTTACAATAATATATATACATACTGCTGTGGAGGCTAGTACACCAAATGGGGAGTAGATTGAAATTAGCTCAGAGGCACCCACACTACCATATGTCCTCGGATCATAGTAAAACACCTAGCTTTGCTGGGTGTGTGATTCGTGTAGGATTGAGTGGTCCTGTGGGTTAGAGCATCATGTAATCCTCATTCACCACAAGGTGGGCCAAAACGACATGGGTTTGAGTCCTCGGCTAGTTGCAGTATTGTTATTGATTAAATACCACTCGTTCGTGGTTGCAACAATATTTATCCACATTTAATTTATGCAGAAAATCACTTTAAAATTATGGCTTATGAAGCAACACATGCATGAGTTAAAAAATAACTTTAAAAAAATTCTTACTTATCAAAATATGTAGAAAAACCAGATTACTTCATACTACCCAGGCATTGTATGACCCCTATGAGCTTAGCACTTCCCAGTGAACACAATAATAAAGATGTATTAATAATTTTACTAGTGAAAATAACTTACTTAAGGAGCACAGAGAACTCGCTAAGAACGAGACGAAGATAAGCGAGGAGTCCTTGGTTGCTGCTGGTGAAGTGGTATGCGTGCTGCTCTCATGGATGCACATCAACCACAGTGACAAGATATTGTATTAGCATACATCTATCTGGATGGCATTAAAATTACTCTATTACCAGATGCAACACACCACCATTACATAAATCACATACAAACCCAACCCTGGTATAATTTATGTCATGTAACATGGCTTTGTCTTTGCTAACCTATCTATATTAAGATTATTATACAGTATCAGGAAAGAATCAATTCCAATGGTGAACCTTGTGGAACTTTCCCTTCCCCTCACTTGTCCATTATGCTCTCTCCTCCTGGTTCATCACTATTTTCTTTATGTTAGGTAAGCCTATTTCTTGATCCAGTTTTATACAGTTCAATTTTGCTTGCTCTTCTAATTTGTGCAGTACTATGTAATATACCTTATAGTCCAGCAATATGCAAGTGTGTCCAGATACCTAAATTGATTGTTGAGATACACATACTATTCATACTCTCATGTCTTAATCTACAAGTCACCCAACACCCTTGAGTTTGAAGTCTTCCATAAGCCATTAACATGAATGACCTCACCCATTTCTGGTTCCACCACAACATGAAGACTAGAAGAGGCACACAAACTGAATTTTTTTCTCAGAGCATATAGAATATGCAACTGCATCTCAAACTACTCTTTCCTATAAGTTTTGTACAAGACACTGGGAAACAATAAGGTGATATTTTTTTGCACTACCACTGTTCCTGAAAATACTGCTAAACTTTTCCACAAGGTCAACCTCAACATCACCATCACATTTTCCATTAAAGCTCGTGACTGTGGATTCTTCAAGAAAAAAAGGTAAAGTCAGGGTTTACACCATTCCTTGTAGTGGTTACAACAAGGTTTAACACAAGCCGTTTGACTAGCAACAGTTTGAATACTTGAGTAAATCATTGTAATACACAGAGAAGCAGCAGTGCTTAGAATCAGCTCAAATTAGCACTACAAACACAATTACACAGAATACTGATAGCTTTAGACATGCTCAGTCTCACATCAACCTTCTGCAGGGCCAACTGCATGAATTGACCTTATTGGTCACCTCACCATCTCTCTTCATTTGCACTGTTACTCTATATATTTCAAGCCTTTCCAAGCTTTGTTTATAAGATTTGATAAAACACTGTGTCCAAGCATAACATCATCTAATTAAAGTTTCCATACTGCTTATGTATCTTTTACTTAAATGTGTCAGTAATTCATACTTTGTGTATATATGAAGAAAATATTTTGAAATGCAATTTAATGTAGGTGATAAAACAGAGGCATGCAGGTTCAATCCAAGGAAGGAGAGGATAGATCCAATTCCTTGAAGAGGATATTTTCCAGTAAAAATTGGCATTGACTGGGAATGTATGATGCCAGCGTAACTGTTCAGTGTGTTTATAGACAAGGTTGTAAAATAATGAATGACAGAGTACTTGTATATTGGTGAAGTAGGATGCTTTATGCTTGTGAGTGTAGGCAAGGCACAGAGTGTATGTGGAGGAAGGAAAACTGTTTGGAGGAAGACAGTGGACTAGTTGCAGGAGTGTTACCTCACGAGTTATGCTGCCCATCAGAGTAAGGAGCTGGTCTTGTGGAGGGAGTTGAACCTTGTTCCAGCGGGCAGCCTTCTGCAGTACCTTGAGGGCACGGTCATGGTGGCCATGAACTATCAACCACCTTGGCGACTCATCCAGCAACCTGGTGAAATACAGAAATGACAAGCAAATGTATGGTATATGAAATGAAAACAACATGCTTTGTGAGGCAGTGGTCACAAATGTTAAGCAATACCTAAAATAAATAAATATACATATATATTATACACAGTATACATATATACAAATGTATACATACATATATACATGTATAATGCTTAAAAGTTCACAGTCAAAATTATTTACAAACATTCTCTCTCAGACCAGAGTAGGGCTCAAACCTGAACACTCTGCATCAAAGTACATGGTAATTATATCACAGAGCCTGCTGCCCCAGGTATGGGAAACAATGCCTAACTGTCAGGTCCAGTTGTGTAGCACGAGTACTGTGTACTTGGATGCAGAGTGTGCAGGTTCAAGTCCTGCTCTTGTCTGAGAGATAATGTTTGTAAATAACTTTGCCAGTGCATGCAGAAGGATGAGATGAAATAACTTGACTATTACCCTGGTGCCCCAAGGTATGGGAAACAATGCCTGGCTTCTTCTAGGTGCCCATACTTATCTAGGGTCTGTGGCATAGGTACTGTGCACTTTGATGCTGAGTGCACAGGTTTGAGTCTTGTTCCGGTCTGAGAGATAATGTGTGCATGCATGCATATACAGTGGTCCCCCGCTTTTCGTAGTTCCCGGCAATCGTAAAATTCATCAATCATAAGGGTATTTTCGTATAAACATGGACTCGCTTTTCATAGGTTGACTCGCGAGTCATAGTTCGTCCGGGACGCGTACCCACGGCGTGAGCCAGGGTGGCAGCCAGTCTGGCATTGTTTACCAGTGAGCAAAGGTCCCCTCACGTGCTCCAGCGAAATATTTCATAATATTCCATTCTTTTAGTGCTTGCAAGTACTAAATAAGCTACCATGGCTCCAAAGAAAGCTCCTAGTGCCAAGCCTGTGGTAAAGAAGGTGAGAAATACGATTGAATTTAAGAAAACATCGTTGAACAATATGAAAGTGGTACAAGTGTGGCGAACTGTCCAGGATGTATAAGAAACCCTACACAACCTTGTTCCATAGTGGCCAAGAAAAATGAAATAAAGGATGCTGTTGTTGCAAAGGGAGTAACTATGCTGACAAAAATGAGATCACCAGTACTGGAAGTGGTTGAGAAGTTATTATTGGTGTGGATAAATGAGATAACAATTAGCAGGAGATACTCTTTGACTCGTTTATTTGTGAAAAGGCTAGGCAGTTGCATGAAGATTTGGTAAGAAATTGCCTGCAAATAGTGGTGAAGTGAGTGAATTTAAGGCAGCAAAGGCTGGTTTGAGAGATTTAAGAACCGTACTGGCATACACAGTGTGGTAAGGCATGGTGAGGCTGCCAGTTCGGACCACAAGGCGGCTGAAAAATATGTGCATGAATGCAGGAGTACATAGAGGCTGAAGGACTGAAACACTGAACAAGTGGTTCAATTGTGACAAACACAGCTCTTTTGGAAGAAAATGCCAAAGAGGACCTTCATTACACAAGAGGAAAAGGCAATGCCAGGACACAAGCCTATGAAAGACAGGCTGATGCTAATGTTCTGTGCTAATGCTAGTGGGATTTCAAAGTGAAGCCATTACTAGTGTACCATTCTGAAAATCCTAGAGTGTTCAGGAAAAACAATGTTATGAAGAGTAAATTGTGTGTTTTGGAAATCTATAGTAAGGCATGGGTCACGAGGGAAATTTTCGTCAAGTGGTTTCAATGAAATGTTTGGCCCTAGTGTGAAGGAGTATCTCTTGGAAAAGAAATTGGATCTCAAGTGCCTGCTAGTAATGGACAATGCACCTACTCATCCTCCAAACTTGGATGACCTAATTTTCGAGGAGTTTGGGTTCATCACAGTAAAGTTATTGCCCCGAATTACCACTCCTCTCCTCCAACCCATGGACCAGCAGGTTATTGCAAACTTTAAAAACTCTACACAAAAGCAATGTTTCACAGGTGCTTGACTGTGACCACAGACACTCACTTGACCCTAAGGGAATTTTGGAGAGAACACTTCAGCATTCTCCACTGCGTAACCCTTATAGGTATGGCTTGGGAGGGAGTGACTACCAGGACTTTGAACTCTGCCTGGAGAAAATTGTGGCCAGATTGTGTCGACAAGAGGGATTTTGAAGAATTTGGGACTGACCCTAATGAGCCTATGTCTGTTGTAAAATCAATTGTGGCACTGGGGAGTTCCATGGGGGTTGGATGTGAGTTTGGAGGATGTGGAAGAATTGGTGGAAGACTACAATGAAGAGCTCACCACTGAGGAGCTGCAAGAGCTTCAGCAGGAAGAGCAACACATCGCAGCTCAGAATCTTGCTGCAGAGGAGGAGGAAGAGAGATGAAAGAAGGTGCCTTCTTCAGAAATTAAAGAGATTTTTACTATGTGGGGTAAGATGGAAAGCTTTATGGAGAAACATCACCCTAACAAGGTTGTTGCAAGCCATATTGGCAACATGTACAGTGACAAAGTCTTGGGCCATTTTAGGAAAGTGTTAGAGATGCCAGAAACAGAGCTCTCTCCACAGTTATTTTGTGAGACAGGACTCCAGTGACTCTCAAGGAGGTCCTAGTGGCATTAAGAAACAGAGAAGAGAAGCAACCCCAGAAAAGCAAATGGTACCTGAGGTGTTGATGGAAGGGGATTCCCCTTCCAAACTATAAACAATCCACTCTTCTCCTCCAGTCTCCCATACACTAAGAAGAATCTCCAATAAAGGTAAGTGTTATGCTGTTAATGTTTCATTCATCATTTCCCATTGTATTGTTTATGTACTACATGTATATTTCATGTTAAAAATTTTTTTGTTTTAATACTTCCGGGTGTCAGGAACGGATTAATTGTATTTACATTATTTCTAATGGGGAAAATTGATTCGTAAATCGTAAATTTTGTTTATAGTACAGTGGACCCCCGGTTAACGATTTTAATCCGTGCAAGAGGGCTCATCGTTATGCGAAATAATCGTTATGCGAATCAATTTTCCCCATAAGAAATAATGGAAATAAAATTAATCCGTGCAAGACGCCCAAAAGTATGAAAAAAAATTTTTTTTACCACATGAAATGTTAATTTTAATACACACAAACTGAAAAAGGCATGCACAATTAAATGACACTTACTTTTATTGAAGATCTGGTGATGATTGATGGGATGGAGGAGGGGAGAGCAATATCTTCTTACTGTTTAGAAGGGGAATCCCCTTCCATTAGGACTTGAGGTAGTAAGTCCTTTTCTGGGGTTACTTCCCTTCTTCTTTTAATGCCACTAGGGCCAGCTTCAGAGTCACTGGACTTCTTTCGCACAAGATATCTGTCCATAGGGCCTGTACCTCTCGTTCCTTTATGACTTGCCTAAAGTGTTTCACAACATTGTCAGTGTAATAATCACCAGCACGGCTTGCAATAGCTGTGTGAGGGTGATTTTTCATCCATGAAGGTTTGCACTTCAAGCCACTTAGCACAGATTCCTTAATCTTTGAAGTAGGCAACTTCTTCAATTTCTCTCTCCCCTCCTCCGAAGCAATTTCCTCAGGTGTGGCCTCTTGCTGTTGAAGTTGATCTAGCAGCTCATCAGTGGTTAGTTCTTCATTGTCCTCCTCCACCAACTTTCCACATCCTCCCCACTAACCTCCAAACCCCAAGGACTTTCCAATGCACACAATGGATTCTCAACTGGCACAGGATTCTCAGGGTTAGCCTCAAACCTTCAAAATCCTTTTGTCTACACATTCTGGCCACAGTTTCATTCCCAAGCAGAGTTCAAGGTCCTCTTTGTCACTTCTTCCCATGCCTTACCTATAAGGTTTACACAATTGAGGATATTAAAGTGATCTCTCCAAAACTCTCTTAGAGTCAGTTGAGTTTCTGAGGTCATTACAAAGCACCTTCAAACAGAGCTTTTGTGTACAGTTTCTTGAAGTTGAAATAACCTGCTGGTCCATGGGCTGCATGGAGAGGAGTGGTATTAGGAGGCAAAAACTTCACCTTAATGAAGCTCATGTCCCCATAAAGTCGCTCTGACACGTCTGTAGGATGACCAGGGGCATTGTCTAACACCAGGAGCCACTTAAGTTCTAATTTCTTTTCAGTTAGGTAATTTTTCACATTGGGGGCAAATGCATGGTGTAACCAGTTATAGAAAAATTCCCTAGTGACCCATGCCTTACTGTTTGCCCTCCACAGCACACACAAATTATCCTTGAGGACATTCTTTTGCCTGAACGCTCTGGGAGTTTCAGAGTGATACACTAATAAAGGCTTCACTTTGCAATCACAGTAGCATTGGCACACATCAACAAAGTAAGCCTGTCTTTCATAGGCTTATGTCCTGGGAGTGCCTTTTCCTCCTGAGTAATGTAGGTCCTGCTTGGCATTTTCTTCCAGAACAGGCCTGTTTCATCACAATTAAACACTTGTTCAGGTTTCAGTCCTTCAGTTTCTATGTACTCCTTGAATTCCTGCACATATTTTTCAGCCGCTTTGTGGTCCGAACTGGCAGCCTCACCATGCCTTATCCACTATGGATGCCACTACGCTTCTTAAATCTCTCAAACCAACCTTTGCTGGCCTTAAATTCACTCACATCATCACTAGTTGCAGGCATTTTTTTAATTAATCGTCATGCAACTCCTAGCCTTTTCACATATGATCGCTTGAGAGACGCTATCTCCTGCTATCTGTTTTTCATTTATCCACACCAATAAGAGTCTCTAACATCTTCCATCAATTGCGATCTTTGTTTCGAAAACACAGTTGAACCTTTGGCAAGAACAGCTTCCTTGATTGTCTTTCTGGTGCCCACAATAGTAGCGATGGTTGATTGGGGTTTCTTGTACAGCTTGACTAGGTCGGCTATACGCACTCCACTTTCATACTTATCAATTATCTCTTTCTTCATCTCTATAGTAATTCTTACCCTTTGAGGTGTAGGGTTGGCACTAGAAGCTTTCTTGGGGCCCATGGTCACTTATTTTCCAGAAACAGCACCGAAAATACTGTAATAATACGAAATATTCCGAGTGTATGCTTGGATGTTACCGCGGAGGCTGGCTGGTAAACAATGGGACGGAGCGGCACATGTGAGGCTGGCTGAGGGCACATTGGACGCGTCTCGGACGAAAATCGGTATGCGGGTTTTTAATCGGTATGCGGGGCAAAAATTTTCCGATAAAAGTAATCGTTATGCGGAAAAATCGCTATGCGATGCCATCGTTATGCGGGGGTCCACTGTAATGGCTCCAGGAACGGATTAATTACGAACAACGAGGGACCACTGTATCTGTATGAATGCACAGATGTTCACATGAGTGCATGTGCGCAAAGAAATGTATGCTCAAAAGCTGAGGAACACAAGAGATAGGAGCACTGCAGCTGGCTCACATATCCACAAAGAAGCTATAGACCTCGAGTAGCAATCACAGAAGCCTCAGACTCATGATGTGTTGGTCATATTTTATTATGTCTGTATATACAAGGGCTTCAATCCCACTGTTACTCACTTCCAGCAAGAGTAAAAATATATACGTATTCTATTGTAATAATGTGTGACACCATGTAACTGTATACACCATATTTGCAAAACATTAATATTTAATAGGGTTAATATTAGTTGGTTGGCTTGTTATTTTGTATTAAAGCTTACAGACTAAAGGAGCATCATTAAGGTTGAATGTAACCTGTTCACAACCAATCAAGAATTCTTTAATCCCTAAAATAAGGACTAAACTAAACTCTCAGTGTACATAAAGGCCCTGATTATATGGCAGGTTAGGTTTCAGGTTACTGCTGTAAAGCAAAAATCACCATAAAATGAATCACCCTTTTCTGACACTTTTAAATGAACATAAATGCCTGATAATATGTTTACACTATCATATATTAAGTGAGCATTAGACTAGGCCTAAAAACAATAAAAAAGTAAAATGCATATACATGTAGAGTAAAGCCTCTCCTCACTTAACGACGGAGTTCCGTTCCTAAGACCACAGCGGTAAATGAATTTGTCGCTAAGTGACTAACATACTATAATGGTAATGGGTTTGTGTCAACCATCTTTGATATTGTTTTAATGTCACCTTTGCACCATTTATAGCATTTCTGGTAGATTTTTAAATGTTTATACAGTAGTGTACTGTATATTGTAATAAGTAGAATAGAGGAAATTCAGCTGTAATATCATTAATTTAGGTATGCATACTGGTCAGAGAGCCCATTGTAAGTCCGAGTCATTGATAAACGAGTATGTCACTAAGTGAGGAGAAGCTGTACATTCATTACTTAAAATATTTTCATCCTTAGCATATAGTGAGTGGCGAGTAGTATTAGCTTTAGGTGACGTGTCTTGCCTCACTGGGTCAAGGCATTGGCTTAAGCTAGTGGGAGAATTGGGACCTGCTCGCATAGGCAGTAGGCCTGTTGCAGTGTTCCTTCTTTCTTATGTTCTTATCCCCTTGGCCATTTCCACATTAATGCAATATTAAAAACAATGAATAATATTAAAAATAACAAAGAAGGTCATACCAGACTACTGGAAGGATGAAGGCAGAAGGAATGGTGACAGTAAACATAAGTCAGCGCCAGTCTCTGATGAGGTAAGCTATACCACCCCACCACACGAGAGCCAGAGTCCAAGGCAGGTACACCATAATGCCCACCACAGACCTAAGACGTGGTTCACATATTTCCATGGCTAGCAAAGAAGAAGAATAATTTCTTTGTATTATTAACCCAGGACTAACTAGGAAAACCAAGCAGTGAGGCTCTCATAATAGTCTTATATTATCATTTACACAATATCTAGGTGTACATTTGGTGGTAGTGAGGTGGTGTGGAAGAGATGGTGATGACAGTACTTACCTAAAGTATATGAAGTCTGTGTGGATGTTGGATGCATCAGTCCCATCATGAAATGCAGCACTAGTATGGTAGATATGTTAGGTAACCAGTTGAGACTATTTCCAAGAATAATATATGTAACTATACCTATACTCATCATAGTCTTGCACCCGTACCTGCAAGGAGGATGAACACCAAGCTGAAAATCATTTCCCAAATCGCATACTTATCATAGATTAAATGTGCAATCGCTACCTCACAAAAAGTAACACTCATAATACTGCAGCTGTAATATTTCAAACTAACCTGCACTTTAGAGAGAAAACTTTAGGCAATTTTTCTGTAAGTCCTGGATCATTATCAAGTCACAACTGTCATTTGAGTCTCAACTGTGACTTGAGAATGGTCCAGGATGGACCGAAAAGTATCTTGTACACATAGCAGCAGTTTCGATATTTTCAGAGCTTTGACCATGTAGGTACTCAACAACTCATGGCAATGAAAAAAAATATACAAAACAAAACACACACATACTATAAAAGCTTATACAAAATAAACAAACACCACAGCTCGATCCCTAGCGCACTCAGGTCACACACCAGGGTCTGAAGTTCAAATCTCCTCCAGTATTGCTGGAAAACACTAGGGACGTGTTTCCATAAGACACCTGCTGTCCCTGTTCAACCATCAGTTTAAAATAGGTACCTGGGTGTTAGCTGACTGATGTGGGTCGCATCCTGAGACAAAACTGACCTAATTTGCCCGAAATGTTCAGCATAACAAGGGGCTTTCTATATAGTAGAACATACATATGTCACTGATGTTAGCTAGGCCTGTATACCATGTACATGTACTTGTAGTAAATAAAGATATTATTATTATAAATGCTGAACACACAAATACTATCTTATTAAGTTAAAGTAACCAGCCCTCTCCAGTGTGGGTTATTTGTTAATGAGTCGACCCATGTTGTACAGAATAATGACACCATGTATTGCACTCAAACATGGCATTTCTGTGCCTCTAGCTTCCTCCTTACTGCAATATTTAGAGCCCATGCCTTACATACACATAAAAGTGTTGGTACAATTATACTCTGGTACATTTCTCTTTTTGATTCTGCTGATAAAATTCCTTTTTCCCATAGATACCTGAACAGTGATGGAGTGAATGATGGTCAAAGTTTTTCTTTTTCGGGCCACCCTGCCTTGGTGGGAATCGGCCAGTGTGATGATAAAAAAAAAAATAACCTGAACACACCATCTACCTTGATTGCCCTTACCCATTCTATGGTTTACCTTGTCTTTCATATACTCATCTGTCTAAATGTCTGCACCTAAATACTATCTGAATGCATTCCTCGAATCTGATATCCAGGCTCTCACTGCCTAAACTTTTTTGTTACTTTTAACAATTATAAAAATAATAAAATCAATTAAAATTAATAATAAGTGCTCCTGGTATATAACCACAAGTTTTCCTCTCTCTTTTTATAAGAGAACTCTATAATGTATGTCTAACAATATTATGGGTTGCCAGTGTATGCAACTCAAAAGGTGCAAAGACAATTTGATTACCTGTCGGAGAGCCAGCCGCTCAATGGGGCAGCAAGGCAGGCACTGAAAAAGTACACGCTGGAGTATGTGGGTCTGAGGAAATCATAGTCACACACCAACTCAAACTGAAATACAGGACTGATTAGTAAGTGGCTCTAAGAAATATAGTCACACACCAACTCAAACTACAACAGTGTCTCCCAAAAAAGAAGAAACACTTTGTTTTACAGTTAACAATTTATACAGGGGATGGGTTACTAGCCCCTTGCTCCTGGCATTTCAGTTGCCTATTATGGTACACATGGCTTACAGAGAAAGGATTCTTTTCCACTGCCTCATGGAGCCTTAACTTGTTTATTTTTAAATATTAAGATACTGTGAAAATGTAGATGATGAACAGATGCTTTCCTCTTCTCCAGATGAGAGCAAATTAAAAATTAACTGGGAGAATGAAAGGAGGGTAGGTGCCTTGATTCCACTGAATGGCTCTTGATACAAGGACTTGAAGCTACTCTCTTCTTCCTTTTATAAAAACTGGTTGTTTCCACTCACATGTGAGCATACACACATAGATGCAGGAACTAAGACTCAACCTCTGAAACCACATATAGGTGAGTACCCACAACTTCTGGCAGGAGCGAGTCTTGACCCTGCATTCACAGATTAGCGAGCACGCATGCATGCACACACACACAAATAGGCGAGTACAAATAGGTGAGTACACAATACCTCAGAGGTGAGGGTGTTGTCATAGGTAGTCTTGTTGAAGCTCCAGTGTGTACAGGGAAGGACTTGGCCCTCTCTGTCTCCCATCTTTGCCAGGTAGGTGCACTTAGACCTGACCAAATGACCAAACATTCCAGCATCTGCATTCATATTAGGCCTCTACAATTAATTCACAATGAGCTACACAAGCATTAATATCGTATAAATACAGTGTAAATACTGTATACAATAATATCCTCATGTTTTGTTAATTAGCAAAAGACACTAACAAAAATACTGGTTCTTTGTTGCTGTTATACAACTGTTTTTTGTCATATATGTAAGTATTTTTAATACATACATACACAGGCAGAAATTCTGACGGATAATATGGCAGAGGTTGTGGAAGAGGAGAGCTGTGGCAGGAGTGTCAAAGTTTTGGAAAGAGATTAGAGGAAAAAGGCAATTGAAATGAGGCAGAGTCAATATTAATGGTTTAGAGAAGTATGACCATAATTGGGAGGGAGGGTGAAGAAGCACAGGATAGGATACAAAGCATGATGAGTGGGGAAGAGTATAGGCATCAAATAGGTAGGACTAGACAGATGGTAAGTTAACGAAAGTGATGCTACACTGTGGGTATTCCTCCTGTGGTGAAGCCTACCGCCTTGGAGTAGGAGGTGGGGTGCATGTTCGAGTGAGGTTTAGGACCAGCATGAGATGGTATCGGATAGGGCATCCCTTGTTGCAAGGGTGTGAGTTACACACCTAGGATGGAAAAGTGTTTACTTCTGTTGGAAGATTGTCCTGGTCAGTGGAGCTATCCCTATAGATCAAACTTGACAATTCCCATTACCTTGTCTACTGCTTGCATACTACTACTTACTTACTAGATATATAGAAAATATAATTTCGTTGGTGTGAGTTTATTCTCCATTATTTTAGTAAAATCATTCTGTATTTAGTAAACAAAACCAAAAAAGTGTTTGTCGGTTTCTTTATATTTTACTAAACTATCAGGAATAATAAATTCAGCCTTTTTTATTAATTGTACTGTAATTTTAGAATATCACTTGCACCACAATATCCTTGTAAGGAAATGTAAACATCTAACTTTTGCATCACATATGGCCAGCTACAAAAGGGATTAAACTCACAGCATTAACATCTTATTATCTGATTATTAACCTACATCTGAGGAGGAGCTGGGAGTTAGAGTACGTACTCAGGAACACTATCGTCTCAGACACTTGGCAAGGAGAGACATATGCAGTTATATGGAACCATTACAGGCATTTTGGCCATAAAGTGGGGTTCATCAAGTAACATATTTGTTTTTGACTTGACACAAGCCCAATTTGGGCAAAAGGTCATCAAAACAAGACTGAATATAACTGTGTATGTGTTGGTCTCGAGTACCACTGCATACAAAACTTAAACACTGTGCCTCGAAGGAGTTGCGTGTATGGATGTAAAATAATCAAGATGATTATCAACTTAGACACCTCAGAGGAGAAGCTATGTGCAAACAAATAAAGACTAAAGATTTTATTTCTTTGTAAAGGTTACAATGTGTAATTACAGTTTTGGTTTGCTATGTACAAAGAAACCAACTATCATGCCAGGGCATTTTGGGCAGACTAATCCTAGTACAGTGGACCCCCGGTTTACGATATTATTTCATTCCAGAAGTATGTTCAGGTGCCAGTACTGACCGAATTTGTTCCCATAAGGAATATTGTGAATTAGATTAGTCCATTTCAGACCCCCAAACATACACTTACAAACGCACTTACATAAATACACTTACATAATTGGTCGCATTGAGAGCTGATCGTAAACCGGGGGTCCACTGTACATGATTATTTTTTTATTTTTTTTAATAACACATTAGCCATTTCCCATCAAGGCAGGGTGGCTCAAAAAATAAAAACTTTCACCATCATTCACTCCATCACCGTCTTGCCAGAGGTATGCCTACACTACAGTTATAAAACTGCAACATTAACACCCCTCCTTCAGACTGCAGACACTTTACTTCTCATCTCCAGGACTCAAGTCCAACCTGCCAGTTTCCCCGAATTACTTCATAACCTTGCTTACACTCCAACAGCACATCAAGTCCTTAAAACCATTAGTCTCCATTCGCTCCTGTCTAACATGGTCATGCATGCATGCTTGCTGGAAGTCCAAGCCCCTCGCACATAAAACCTTGTACATAATAACTACTTAAATCTAGACAAGGAAATGTGTGTGTGGATGTAGAATAATCAGGATGACCATCAACTTGGACACCTCAGAAGAGAAGCTAGGTGTAAACAAGGAGTTGTGTGTGTGAATGTAGAGTAATCAGGATGACTGTCAACTTAGACATTTCAAAAGAAAGACTAGGTGTCAATATACAGCAATCAATGTAGATACTTCAGAGGAGGAAATGTATGTAAGGACATTTGTGTTGCAGTGTCCGACAGGGTGAATATCAAAATGGTATACAATACCGACAGGTTGGTAGGTAAGACACATAGGCAACAGTTAGGCAATTTTATTCCAAAACTTTTCCCCTACACAGTAGGCTTCTTCAGTCGCATACAGAAAGCAGGAGGAACAGTAGAGATTGAAGACGATGTAATCAGTCCATCACCCTTGAAGTCGGAATAAAGTTGCCTAACTGTTGCCTATGTGTCTTACCTACCAACCTGTCAGTATTGTATACCATTTTGATATTCACCCTGTCAGACACTGCAACACAATGGCATCTTGGTACAGAAAACACCTTGGACAACTTCTTCAAGTGAGAATTGTTTGATCTGAGAGGGACGTGACCTCTCAGTGGCAGCATTCTCACTACTACTACTACTACTACTACTACCCTGCACCTCTTCTTCCGACAGTACAGTATTTAAGTCTCCGCACTGTCGCTTGATCTTCAGATAGTTCCAGACTATGGAACTGAACTTCTCCAGGCTGAGGGACTGACAACCTCAAATCTACGACTTCAAGGGTGATGAGCTGATTACATCGTCTTCACATCTCTACTGTTCCTGTCTACTTTCTGTATTCGACTGAAGAAGCCTACTGTGTAAGTGAAACTTTTCGGAATAAAGTTGCCTCACTGCTGCCTATGTGTCTTACCTACCAACCTGTCAGTATTGTATACCATTTTGATATTCACCATGTACACAAATACTTGCATGCACACATACATGTATGTATGCACAAGTATACATTCACACACACTTGACCCCTGCAACCACAACTAGGTGAGTACAAACATGTATGCACAAATACATACATACATGCATCCATGCATGCATCCACACAAGCTGTGACTTGATATCTCCAACCACAAATAGGCGAGTACACACATGCAGGCATCCACACACACACACACACACACACAACGGCATGCGCATATGCACACACAGACTTGTGTGCACACACATGTACACGATACACAAGCAAGCAAATATCCAAGCACACTCCCACACATGTGGGTGTGCACAAACACACATACACACAAGAACATGTGCACACATACACACATGAATGCACACACATATAGGAGCAATGACTCAACCCCTGCAAACCACAATTAAGTGAGTACACACACAAACGCACACACATGCACTCACACACACAACCACCACAATGGATCGTAATAACATAAAGTAGAACATCCTTTACCTCACCACTGGGCTGGATAATGACAGCTGGGGCCAGAACCGATGACTTCCTCACCTCTCCACCCTGGTGCAAGCACTGCACTGCCCAAGTGCCAGACCTCCCCCTAACACCCACACTGCTACATGTCACCCCTGGTACAGTGCCACCAGTAGCAGTCAAGAAGGAGCTTGTAATGTCTACAGTACAAAGATGACTCAACACACTCACTATTGATAGGATCTTCTACATCTTGTTTGATAATAAAGCTAAAATACAAACAAAAAATAAACAATTTACTCACAGAAAGACTAGATGAAAACATTCTTAGATATACTTTAACACTTTGATTGCAGCCCAAAATTCAAAACTTATATCTAACACATGTCAAAGAAAATTTCCACAACTGTGGGTATTCTTTCAAAAATACACTACTATTTACCACAAACAACATTTCACATTTCAATCTACCCCTTCCATGCTTATGGTATGTGTGCATGAGGCTCTATAACAGATGATCACCTAAAACCTATCATCACCTTACAAAAATCAACTATATTACAATGATCACTCAAGCTGGTTCCAAACAACACATATTTTCACTATACATACAAGTCTAAATTCGCTCAACAAACAAAATGTTCACATCTATTACTGTGCATGTTATATATTTGGGACACTAAGAATATCAACCCAACACTCAATTCTTCCTGAACAGTGGCAATAGAACACACACACAATGCAGGCATAACATATTAATGCGGCGCTTGCTTTCGACAACTTTGCTAATACTGTACAGTGGACCCCCGCATAACGATTACCTCCGAATGTGACCAATTATGTAAGTGTATTTATGTAAGCGCGTTTGTACGTGAATGTTTGGGGGTCTGAAATGGACTAATCTACTTCACAATATTTCTTATGGGAACAAATTCGGTCAGTACTGGCACCTGAACATACTTCTGGAGTGAAAAAATATCGTTAACCGGGGATCCACTGTACAGCACTTTTCAATTATATTCATGTTTATTATTTTTAGGGCTTGCCTTGCTCTTAAAATGCTTTACAGTAATTTTCAATTTTTTTTATTTATTACTCTTACTTTCCCATAATTTTTTTAGGCCTAGTGCTATTATGCACATAATAAGTGAATTATTACTGAAAAAATTAGAGGCAAGACAGAGAGTAGGATTGCAGATGAGCAAGGAGGCTTTAGAGTGGGTAGGGGATGTGTAGATCAAATGTTTACATTGAAGTATATATGTGAACAGTATTTAGATAAAGGTAGGGAAGTTTTCATTGCATTTATGGATTTAGAAAAAACATATGATAGAGTGGATAGGGGAGCAATGTGGCAGATGTTGCAAGTGTATGGAATAGGTAGTAAGTTATTAAATGCTGTACAGAGTTTTTATGAGGATAGTGAGGCTCAGATTAGGGTGTGTAGGAGAGAGGAGAGTACTTCTCAATAAA